ATAAAAACTACATTTGCACCTATGTATCCCTCAACACATCCTACCTCCATTAGGTGGAGGAGGGTGCACCCTCATTCACTTATGGGCATGTACACTTTTATTTTGGTGAACTTATTTTGTAAAGCAGGTTTGTGCTTGTTAGGCCTTTAGACCACGCAGACTAAGTACCAACTGCAAACATTCCCTTGTTTTCCTCTTGAAGAGGCAACAAGGATTCATCAACATCCTGATGGAGTTCTGTTTCCTTACATTCACTGAATGTGCTGAGAAATGCCTCGACATTAACACAGCCTCTGTTCCGGGTCGCGCTCCACGTGCAGCACGCTCTAAATAAATAGCAGATTAATTAAATGTCTACGCAGAAGTTGAAAACTCATGTGACTGATTAATTACTATTCATGAAATAAAATTTAAAAAAAAATTACACAATTTAAAAGTGCATATAATTAGATAATATATAAATAAACCAGCGATGTCCTCATGAATTTCTTTATAAAGGAGAATAAATGTGACAATCCGAGACTGTTTGATGAATGACGGGTCATCTGGGCAAGAATGCAGCTTACAAATGCAGGTCGACATTTGTGGTGATCATTGTGTTTACAAAGTGAAAATAATAATAATAATAATAATAATAATAATAACAACAACAACTGTAGACATAGCCTATTTTGATTTGATTTTTTGTAAATAAATCAAGACACATTATTTTTTACCTCAAATTGATTTTTTATACTAACCATTGTCGTAGTACTGGCAGCAATATTATCAAAAAAGAAGCCATAAATGTATTATATATTATTATTATAATGATTATTATTATTATTATTATTATTAATAATAATAATAATAATAATAATAATTAACAAACATTATTATTAATAATAATATAGGAGGAATAATTAACCCACGCCTTCACTCCCTTTATTAAGATAGAAAAGAAAAACAACAAAAAATTATATAGCTAGATCAGTTTTAAAGATCAATATGTTCTAATTTTCCTCTTTAAAATCTACATGAATCAGAGGGTTATATGATCTTGTTACAATATTTTAAAATCTTCTAATAGTCCTCCCCAAATGTTCTGATAAATCAAAGGTGAATCAACTATGACCTCCAGTGGGGGATCACCACAACAACTATTAATAAATGAAATAATAATAAAATAAATAAAGAAATAAATATAATAAAGAAATTAAAACAATGTTTTCAGGAAAATCAAAAGTAACTGAAACCGGATCCAGCTTTATGAATTTATCTGATAAAGATTTCTCCCAGCCTGTAAAGGGTAAACTGTAATCCCAAATAAAAGCCATAAATTAGGTGGGTTTACCCTCCACTACAGCCCCTTTCCTTGTCCAAAAACAATGCCACTGTTTTTCACTGCAGCTCCCTCCCCTTATGTTTTTTTTTTCTTTCCTCCTTTCTTTCTTTTTTTGTATTTAAAAGTTTCTACAGGGGGACAAATACCACATTGCCTCAGGCTCAGGGGAAAATAGCGACCAGATTAGGCTTTCTTTTCAAGGCCTATGACATTAGTTGCTGCTAATCCGAATTGGGCTAATTGCTTTCCCAACATGAGCATATCCCGTTTTTTTTTTTTTTTTTACAGACTTCTACGGCAATCCAGACGATCTAACAAAACAAACAACAACAGAAAAATGTATAGGAAATATATTATTCCAGCAGGCTGTTTGACAGTTAGCTGCTGATCAAGCAGTAGGCCTACTTGGCATGCCAGTGAAGGTTGTGAGAAAAAAAAACAAAAAAAAAAAACAGAAATCTCTTGAGAGTGGAGACAACGAATTAGCTCTTGGAGCGGATTTACAGCTTAACCAAAGAAATCAATAACCTACTGGAGGTATTGTTTCCAAAGAAAACTACTTGACACACTCATCGGGGAATCTGTCTTTCAGCGAAAGGCAGGTTAGTGGTGTGAATTTTTGACAGCTGCAGTCTGTGACAAGTGATAACATTTGCACTACAAAGGCAGGTTATAAACACAAGAAATACGGATTTTAAATGTAGGCTGTTGTGGTAGGCTTTCGCAGCAGAGCAGAGATCATATCAAATATTTTTGCAGCGTCTCGTTGCACAAGATTTTGTGTTAAAATCGCGTATTTGAATTATTGAAAAATCTATTACTTACGACTAAAACCCAGTGGCTGTGCCCTGAACTGATGTCACAACATGCAGCTGTCCAAGCTACATGTGCTCACCATGGCTGACCGACATGAGGACGCACAGTTTAGTAAACACAGCAGAAGTTCACACTCCTCTTTTGGTCCACTCAGTCTGTTGTAGATTTAACTTTCCTTGTGTTGCACACTGCCTCTAACTTTAATTCAGTCCAGGCACATTCTCTCAGATTAGCCAGAAAATCATTTTCCTCCATTATAACCTCTTGAAAATTGTGAAATTAGAAGTTCATTTTGTCACAGTAACAACAATAAAGTTTGACTCCACCTTCAGTGAGTCCAGTCACAGTTTTACAGTAAATCATAACCAGGTTCCTTCATCGCGCAAACTCTCCTTCCCGGGCGGTGGTGGCTTTGGTGTTTGGGGTGGGGTGGGGGGTGGGGGGTGGGGGGGATGTTTGTGGTCTAATACATGTCTAATAGGGGGTCCTTGACGTGAAAATGTTTGGGAAAAACCCCCCCCCCCCCCTTTAGCTGATATAAGCTGTGGCCATTCATGGTAGGCGTATAGGCTGAGCCACCAGTCTAAGTGAGTAGAAACAATACAGGAAGGAGAAACAGATGAATGTGCTCGTTTAGTTTACGGGTTGTTTGATGAAGGAGTATTGGCCAAAGTGTTGTTCCTCACCGCGGGACCCTCGGTGACAGTTTGAGCCGGTCCTCTCAGCTCATTATCTCGCCGGCCCACTGAGGGCCCCATTCAAGCCGGGCAGTCCCCCTCTCTCTCTCTCTCTCTCTCTCTCTCTCTCTCTCTCTCTCTCTCTCTCTCTCTCTCTCTCTCCCTCTTCCTCCCCACCTCTCCCTCTCTGCCTCTCTCTGGCAGCGTCGTTTGTCTACTCATTGAACCCATAGTCAGGAATGCGATGGTTGTTAGGGAGCCCTCTTTCACCTCCGAAGTGTTTTATTGATGAGCTCTGACTTCTCCTACTTTTTCACATGTCAAAGAAAGTCAAGTGTAGGCCTCCATGACTTCATTTCATGGCCCCCCATCCACCCCCCCCCACACCAAAAAAAAGAAAAGTAATTTCTCTCCCCTCCCCCTGCTTATGCCTGTCCCTCTCTCTCCTCTCTCTCTCTTTGCCCTTTCATGCACCCCCTTTTCTGCTTTAGTTTGGCTTCCACTTCCATACAACCCTCATTCTCTTCCCCTCGGTTCTCCTCCTTTAGCAGCGAGCGGCGGGGCTCCTCAGTGCTGAGACTGGTGCTGCCCAAAGCTCCGGGTGTATGCTCAAACACGGGCGCAGAGGGGTTGCTTTTGGGTGCGTTGAGGTGTGCGTTAATAGCCAGTCATTCAACCGGCGCAGTTTGGGAGCGTGTGGCCATGGCTACACAGTCATTTGCTTTACTTTATTTACGCGTGCTATTTGCTGTCAGGTCGCAGGAGTGACGTCGCCGTGCCTCGCAAATGTGTCCATAAAAAGCAGCCGAGCTTGCCTAAAGGCTGCGCTCTTTACGCATGGTGTTCTTGTTGACAGGAGGGAGAAAGCTATTCAGGGGAAGGTGATACCCAAAAGAATCAACAAAAGCACGTGGTGGACATTTCTGATTGTTTTTAGTGAGGGAGGGCAGTGTCATTTTAGAATGCAAAAGATTTTCAAAGTTAATACGCTCCCATTTGGAGCTTTTAGCTTAAAAAATAAATAAATAAGAAAAACTTTTCCCAACTCAGCTGTACTTTCCATGCTGCACCAGCATGATATCCTGGGGACTTTTTTGTCAATTATTTTAATGATTATTAATGACTTTGGAGCAATAAGAGTCAATTCATCTGCTAAGCTTGTTGAAGTTATTGTGCTTTAAAGTGGCGCAAGTTATTCGAACATTGTGTGTTTTGCCAACTCTGGCAGTGAGGATCTCCGCCTGCAGGTCTACAGTTGACACGTGGATGCAGAACCAAAAAATAAAAAAAAACCCCAAACAAATAAACAAACAAACAAAAAAACAAACAAACATAAAAAACAAACAGAGGTGACATTGTGCAACATGTCCCCAAAACTTTTTCAACAGCAACAACAACTGTTATGCGTCTCGATAACATTAATGCCATCTGCGGAGCCTCGGCTGTTTCATAAAAGGCTGCAGCTCTTTGTCATTTGAATATGATGTGAGGAGCTCCAGTGTTCACGTGCAGCGCTGCTCCGCTGCTAGTTCCCGTCACCCTCGCAGCTCGAGCTGTTAGCCCTGCAGGTTTGAGCTGAACATGCCCGAGATTCCCTGCGCGGACCCAATTCAGCCTGGAAGAATAGAGCTTTCCGTCCAATGGGCATTTCCGAGGCAGTTGCTCTGCAATAGGGCAATATTCAGCAAGTGAGGGCAGGGTATTTGCATGCGTGGGCTGATTAGTGGGTTGGGAAGACGAAACTCTCTCTCTCTCTCTCTCTCTCTCTCTCTCTCTCTCTCTCTCTCTCTCTCTCTCTCTCTTTCTCTCGCTTGCTCGCTCGCTCGCTGTGACTCGGCCCCGTTTCCCGCTTTGGCTGTGGTGCAGGGGGAAGTGTTTATATGGGGGATGATGACAGAGGTCGGGTCGCGCTAATGGGCCAGTGAAGAGCGGCGGAGGGAGGCGAGGCGAGGCGCACACAGCAGACCAGGAACACATACATTAATACACTTGTTCCATCACCAATCAGCATAGGTGTGCTCATTTCTCTTACCCCCACCTCCTTCTACCACCACCACTCTCCCTCCCTCCCTCCCTCCTTCCCTCCCTCCTCCCTCTCTCTCTCTCTCTCTCTCTCTCTCTCTCTCTTCCCCACTCTCTCTCTTTCCGACTCTCTCATTCGCTCTCTCACACGCCAGCGCACATCCTCGCCGAACTCCGTGCGTCCTGACATCTGAGTTCACTGTCAATCTCTGTCTCCTTCGCAGGGATATCCCCTCCGTCTCCGCCGAAGACCACTGGAAACTAATTTTTCCTCTTCTAAACTTCCCGAGAGAGACTGATCCTGGTCAGCTTTTTTTTTTTTCTCTCTTTCTGTGGTGTGGAGAACTAGGCTGTAGCCTGCAGTTTGCCAAGGACTTTGACAACGACGCAGGATGCCCCAAAAAGGTGAGATCCTGAACTAAAAGTTTGTCTGTTTTGTTAAATTATAGAATTTATGATTATTATTATTGTTGTTATTATTATTAATAATATTATTATTATTATTATTATTATTATTATTACTATTATTATAGGTCATGTATTCTCGGCTGTAGGTTGAGGCTCAGTGGTGAGGTTGTAGGTGTTTTATCGTTTGGACTGTGCAGCCTGTCTCCTGACTGGACTCTCTGAGAAGTGCGAACAGCCTTTAGCGTCTCTGTCTGTTTTATCTGCTCGGTTTTGTTGTTGTGTTTAGGCCTACGGATAGCTTACCGCTTATTTATGACAGCAAAGAGTAAAAAGTCACGTTGGGCCAGGACAGTGATCATCGTGGAGAATGGGGCGCAATGACCCGTTGAGGAAAGGTGTCAGATTGATTCATGCAGGCGAGTCACCCAAGCGCCTTGTACAAAAAAAAAGAAAAAAAGAGAGAGGCTCCATGAAGCGCTTCACTTGAAGAGGCGGCTCGTTTTTTTTTTTAGAGTGTTTGTTTGTGTGTCAGATAAAATACAACTTTCCCCTTCTGTTTTTTTCTAAGATGTTTCAGCGAGTTAATGACAGCGAGTTCAACTACTTTCACATTTTTACCAGTTCAAATATTCCAGTCAGACACTATCTTCACAAGCACGTCCGCCTAAAACAGGAAATAATGTTTCAAATCATTCCAGTGATTGAATAAAACATAGCTAACATATGGATACAAACTGCTGCTGCTTTAAAATTATTTTGTCAAAACAAGCAAGTAAATTAGTAAAAATAAAATAGATGCATTCATTCACTGAAATTATGCATTTTATATTTGTAAATGTTATAATTTTAAATTCATCCTAATTCAGACAAAAATCTAATAAAACTTAAAAAGACTGACAGTCAAAACACATCAGGCCTATTCCTTAATATGTCATAACACACACTCGTTTCAGTTTAGATTAAACCTGTTCATGCTAATAACTAATTCACTGAAACCGTAAAGTGTAACCATTTTTCAAAAGTCACCCTCATCTGTGTATTTCCTGTGTCAGCCTCCAAACTTGCATCGGGGGGCCATTGTAGCCCAGGCCTACATGGGCTCTTTCTGCATATGAATGTTGTGAGCGCAGGATCCAGCGGCCAGAATAAGCATGTTGAATTAAGACATTGTTGTTACGGATTACTAAAGGAAAAGAAATGCAGATTAGATCGTCGTTAACCTCGGTAACAACAACGTTTGAGCTTTCGACCTTAAATAAATGATTAACCACTTGGACCTATAGGGCTAAAAGCTATACTGAATGCGGTCCATTTTCAGGCTGCTCAGATTTAAAAGGTAGAATTTTCTTTTTTTTAAATTTACATTTTTCCATGTTAACTTTAACATCATGACACCAGGCTAAACGTAGGCTCATAGTAATATCTGAATGATTTAGTGCTTGTTTTTGGCCATTTCATGTTATGCTAAACAGGCTAACTCAGGCTATGTGGGCCAGTGTGATGGAATCTGAGTTTGATTAATGACCGAGCAGCCTATTTGTTAAAACATGAAAGAAAGCTACATTCTAGAAATGCAATGGCGGCCCTAGGTGCATCTCACAAACTAGGCTTGGACTAAACACAGCCTGTTAGACGTCGGTATTATGCCATTTTACTCTGCACACAACACAACTTTGCATGGAGGGAGAAAATGAAAACTTCAGACTTCTCCCTCCCTGGCCCCCTTTTTATCTGTTCCCCATTCAATAGCTTCTTTAATGCATTTGTCTTTTCCAATTGAGCGCCCTACTGCGCTGTTGTGTCTTTAAACCCGCTTTACAACCCGCACCAGCAGCACAAAATAACCACCAAATATTTATAACAAGAAATTACTTTTTAAAATTCTTTGTTAAAAAAAAAAAAAAAAAAAAAAAGAAAAAAAAAGAAAAAGAAAAGAAGAAGAAGAAGAAAAAAAAGCAGGCCAAACAAAACCCACATTCACGCACTAGCAGCACCGGGGTCACGGTCGTGTGTGTGTGAGTGAGTGAGTGAGTGAGTGAGTGTGTGTGTGTGTGTGAGTGTGTGTGTGTGTGTATGTGTATGTGTGAGAGTGTGTGTGAATGGTCCCGGAGGGGGTGGATGCATGCCTCCGGCTCTTTGTATTAATCTGAACTTGTTGGTGTGTTTAGTGGGGAAGCTGTGTGTTTCTAGTCGCGGAGGCCGAGTTTTCGCCCCGGGTTTGAGGTATATGGAGGCAGAAAAGGGGGTGCATTGTTAGAGTCCAGCAGGCTTTGTACACCAGCTTTGTACCCCCTCCTGGTCTGGACTTTTGCAGAGCAGTGAGGCGAGGTAGACAACGTGTGTCACTGTACAGTTTCCACGATAGACTCCACAAGAGGAGGGATATCAAGTTTAGAAAAATATAGAAACCTCTTGCTGAGAGGATGAGGGCTGATTTCTTTATATGAACTAAAAAAAAAAAAAAAAAATCCAAAGGACCAAAAGCCTTGAAAGAATCAGTGTTGTTAAAGAGTTATAGGCACAATATCACTCCTAGGCTGTTAGTTAGAATTTATTTTCAGGCCTAACACAGTTAATATGTTAAAATAATGTTGTCCCGTGTCAGTTTGAATTTATTTGCTTGGCAGCAACATTTAGGTTAAATCTAAAGCTAAGTCACAAATGAAGATACAGTAGGTTGAAGTGCATCAGTATAGCTGTGGCTGTGCTAATGTGTTGTTTTGCTTTGTCCTATAGGGAGACATTAAGTAGTGAAAACGGCAGATGATTGACTAAATTGTTATAGAGTGGACAGTCAACTCTGTTTCCAGGCAAGTTTAATTAAAATACATACATACACTCAGGATGTTAAAATTCATGATGCATCTATAATGTTTAAGCACCAGATCCGCAAATGAAATTCAAATCGAACGAGATGAGAACCTTTATTTTTTTCTTAAAAAAAAAAAAAAAAAAGAAATGTTGCAAATAATTTGACAGTAGCCTTAAGGGAAAAAGATCTGTACACCAGGTTTATGATTTGATGCTAACCAGCTTTGTTATTTCCTTGTGATGCTTAGAATACCACAACCAAGCCACGTGGGAGTCTGGCGTAGCCTCAATGATGCAGAACAGTAAGTTGTTTTTATATATTTATATATGTTTTTTTGTTATGAAACTTTTGATTACAGCCGCAAGTTCTAATGTGGTTGCATGGAAGCAACACCCACTGACATTATGCACTAGTTGTTATAGCGCAATAACTTTATAAGAACACTTTAAAGAGGGGGAAAGAAAAAAAAAAGAAAAAATGTATGTGCAGGCATAAATTTGCATGACTTTGAGGTGCAGGGGCGAAATATTCTCAGTTATTTGATGGCCGTTTCATTTCTGTTAATTTATTTATTTATTTTTTTGTTGCAATGATAGGTAGGCAAGTTATTATTGAACAAGTTAATCACACGTCGTCCTGCTCCAGAGAGAGGGAGAGAGAGAACGATAGAGAGAGATAGAGATATAGAGAGAGAAAGAGAGAGAGAGAGCGAGAGAGGGAGGAGAGGGAGAATAAAGGGGGTTGGGTTGAGAGGGAGATTTTTGTTTCTGCTTGAGTTGGTATTAAATAATTGCACAGCCGTCTGCATTAGCGTTAGAGCTGGCTGCCAGGCTGCATACAAGATTAGCTGCGTAGAGAAGAGCCCTGCATGAAACATGAGGAATAGCAATAATGTCTTATGTAGATTAGTCCATATTCTTCACGGACAGACAGCATGAACTAGAAAGAAAATGCTCATATTATAACCGCAGGCCACACTGTTAGGTGCAGGCTGAACTCACAGCGGAAGATAAATATTAACAACCATATTGTCGTGGGTGCCAATCAAAAAAAAAAAGAAAAACAAACAAACAAACAAAAAAAAAACATGGTAGATGAAGTTGCTTTACAGGCCTCTGTGTTTGAAGTGGCCCATGAGTTGAATATCTTGTCTTATTCCTGGTGTGTGTGTTGAAACAAAAAAGGATAAACATGAAACATTCTCTCTCTTGCTGCTGGACAAGAGGTGTATGACATCTGTGATGAAGGTGTGTGGAATAATTTTATTATATTATTCTCCATATACCTTGATGACGTGTCTGTGCTGTAATCTGTGCGCATTAGTCCAAATATGTTTGAGTTCAATGTTGGACCACATGACAGTTGGGTTGTTTGATGTGTAGAGGTGTGATTCATAAGAAAACACGCATAAACAATTTTTTTTTTTTTTCAAACTGGTGGCATTTGAGTCTCATTTTATTAGGCCCCAATGCTGTGATTTTCTTTTTCTTTTTTTTTTTTTTTTGCTTGCCAATTGTCCATTATTGAGATGATGGGGCCTTATCAAAGCTGTGTACAATACCCAGCGCTCCTGCTTTGCTGCGGATTGATGTTAATGGGATGCTCCCCTGGCTTGGCGTGTGATGTCTGGTGCGAATTGCCGAGGAGATATCATTGGGCCCGGCCCTTTGGGTTGTCTAAAGGTCGCGACGGCCTCGCTGGCTTTTGTGCTAATAACTCCTGGGTGTATATGGTGGGGAGCGTCCAAATTGACACCATATGTTTTCCTATTAGTCGACTTGCAATAGAATACAAGGCGCATAATCAGCGCCAGCGGGCGAGATCGACTCTGGGTACTTGAGGGAATTGTGCCATGATTAAGACTTAACCTTAGGAGAGTTTGATTTTTATGTGATGTCCTTATCTGACGGTTTTATCGATCCGGAGGATTTATATGATAGTTATAAATCAGAGATGATGGAGAAGCCCTGGAGAACCCGCAGAGCAGGGCTGCTTAATGCGGGTAGGCCAATTTCAGCATGAGAAGTCTATTAATTCCACTTAATCCTGGAATTACCAAAGAGCAGGAGGGATGATAATGGATTTACTATCAATCAGATCCACACTGGAAGATTATTACACATAGTGGCCAAAAGGGATGTGTTACCCAGTTAAACAGGTTTATTTTCACTCAGGTATGAGCACGGCCTTTTGATCATTTCTATAAAATAAAGTCTCCAGTATAAAGGCAGAGTCCTGTGACATATTTCAGAGTAAAGACGCCTACCGATTGCTCACAACAGGACTGCAGTGGCTGTGAGCATTTGTTGTCAAATACAAACAAGGGGGGAAAAAACTGCATGTCACTTTTAATATGTTAAGAATCCAGGCGCGCCCTCGTTTCTGTGACCGCGCGTAGCCCCTGGCCACCTTAAAACGAAGTCTCCCTCGGAGGGTAAACGAGTAGCGTCCAATTTTGTCTGAGTGATATCCAAATGCAGACAGAAAGGGTCGTTTTATCATGCTACTATTTGTCGTGACGATGCGATTTTCAAAAGCAGAGCGGTGTCATAAAGTGACATGCCTGCCACAAGTGCTCCAACTGATCTTTTCAATTAGCCTCCCATGCATGATCCGAGGCGACTTCCGCCTATTTCCAGAAATTAAGCTCAAACTTGACGTGCAGCTAGCTTTATTTTAAAGACAAATGTCAGGCAGGCTCATCATATTTTCCCCCTCTTCTATATTTGGAGCTTATTTATTGCTAAGGAGCCTCTGCTCCCGGAGTCAATGTACCGGGCGGCAGCGCAGGGGAAGGGAGCGGAGAAACAGAGAGCAGCTCAGGCACTCCGGGGAGTCAGCTCTCCCATTTGGCTTCAGGTTTGCGGGATTATTCTGTGCTTTAGAGAGATGCCATAGAACAATTTAGGGATAATTTCCAAAAATCATTCTTTTTTAGACAATAACCAGTCATGAAAATTGCTATTTTAGAGCTAGTATCTGATGTGGTGCCTGTCTTGTTCATGCGTAATTACTGTGTTTTGAAGGACTGGAGTTGTCGATTTAAAGCTACTTTCCAACAAAAAAAAAAAAAGTAGCGATGCTTTTGAATTTAAGACATTATTACGGTTTTATGTGATTGTCGCTGTTGCGGGTTATTGTTGTTTGATTTGATTTTATGTATTTTGAGGATATAGTTTGTGAGTGAGGTGCTGGTGTTGGTGCTGAGCAGCTGCATAGCTTCATGAGGGCGATGGATATCGATGCGAATGTTTTAATACCGAAGTTTTCCGGTTTGATAAAAGGTTGGTTGAGTTTCATCGGGGCAAGACGACAGATTGAGTTGCTCATTTATTATTAGAGGAAAACATATTGTGATATTTTAGTTCGGTTTGTGTGACGCTGCTGTCGTTTAATCCAGGTTCTGCATGTGTTACTGAGTAACTGCGCAATGTTTGGACTGCAGAGGGGAAATGCACCGAGTTATAACAGTTTCTTTAAAAGATTGTTTCATCAGTGCAACTCCGATTCAAGACACTTTTTTTTTTAAACAACATAAATGACTCTTCATTTTTGATGTAAACTGCAATAACCCTTCTGTAGCTTACCTCTGTATGCTGTCCTCATATCTCATTATCCTGGTTATCCTGAACGCTAAAAAAAAAAAAAAAAAAAAAAAAGTCATTCTCCTCATCACTTAATGAAAATCATTTGCTTTTATTACACAATGTTTGCATTGCTCTTGTTATATGATGTGATGACTATACGATGCTTTTGTCTCCGTGTATAGGTCACAGTGGCGTAAACCAGCTTGGTGGTGTGTTTGTTAATGGTAGACCGCTGCCGGATTCCACCAGGCAGAAAATAGTTGAACTTGCTCACAGTGGTGCTCGACCCTGCGACATCTCCAGGATACTGCAGGTGACAGTCACACTCCTTTTTGAACAGAAAACCGCTTCACCCAGACTTTGTTTTCAGTGGATTCAAAGGTGCTTTTGAAAATATGAAATCAGGAAGCAAAAATATGAAAGGCGTAACGATATGATTTTCTCATGAAATCAATGTTTCCTGTAGCCTAAATTTTTAGCATTTTTAAATCAGTGAAATTATTATTTATTAGTTACATCATTAGGTTCACTGGGGGAAAAAAAAGCCGACAAAAAGGAAAGTAATCTGCCTGCTATTATAAAGAATAAATCTATTGTAAGAAATGCCTAATATACCATTCAAGGCATATTTTTTGTGTTTATAGACCCATGATGAAGTCCAAGTGCTGGACAGTGACAAGGTGATAATTATTTGACGCCATCTTAGAAATTCCGTTAATAGTCGTAAATAATGTATGTGAATTGTGTCTTTTGTTTTCTATCCAGGTATCCAACGGCTGCGTGAGCAAGATCCTGGGCAGATACTATGAAACTGGCTCCATAAGACCGAGGGCAATAGGCGGCAGCAAGCCCAGGGTCGCCACTCCAGAGGTGGTCGCGAAAATCGCGCAGTACAAGCGGGAGTGTCCGTCTATCTTCGCGTGGGAGATCCGTGACAGACTTCTGTCGGAGGGGATCTGCACCAACGACAATATACCCAGTGTAAGTGTATTGACTGTAAGTTATGTGCATGATTTAATTTGCCACATGAAATGACTTTTTTGCAGTGGAGGAAAAGGAGATGGGCATCCAACCATTCAGTCTTATTAAATACACTGCATTTCAGAGTGTGGGGCGCCCATCAGCCTATTGCATATGTGATCACCCAAACATACAGTCAATTAGAAGGAGCTCGTTGTCCATTTGTGAACATCTTCCTGTGCAGATTTATTATGATTATAAGATGTGTGTGTGTGTGTGTTTGTGTGTTTGTGTGGTGCTGTGAGCCCGCTGCACACACACACACACGCGCACACACGCACACACACACACACACACGCGCATCTTTGAGCATTGATACAGTCGCTGCGTCTAATCCTAATCCTCACTCTTATCATATGTAATTTGTCATTCAGGTGTCATCGATAAACAGAGTCCTCCGCAACCTGGCTAGTGAAAAGCAACAGATGGGCGCAGATGGCATGTATGACAAGCTGAGAATGCTCAACGGTCAGACAGGAACTTGGGGGACCCGGCCCGGCTGGTACCCCGGAACATCAGTGCCAGGGCAGCCCAACCAAGGTGAGCCTCATTATCACACCGTGGCAATAAAGACACCTTGACGCACGCACGCTTGTATCAAAGGAGGATACAACCGGGCGGTGCAGGTCGGTTGTTGTAGGTGGGTTCTCAAGATAACTAACATTTATGGTCTGTCACCAAAAAAAAAAATGCCTTGAGTTGTCTGTTTGAAGTCACGTGCGTTTAGAATGAACGTGAACTCCACAGAGGTCACCAGAAATGGTCATGTATGAATATGAATAGTTTTACAGCTCACTATTCCAGTGGTTCCGGTCCTCGTCTCTGTTTGCAGGGAGGGTATTGTATTGGCATGCTTTGATGCCCTGAACAAGACCCCCAATTAAGACTAGTCGATTAGAGGAAACCATAGGCCATGCATGCAGTCTGAATGCCTCCACTGTCCCAGACATGGATGTGCGTGACAGCGGCTTGTCCTTTCAGCAGAGGTGTCCATCCAACAGCCTGCATTTTCCTCCCCTCCTGATGGGGAGGCAGAGCCAGGGAGCTGTGTGCGGGGATATTAGTACAAAGGAATGTTTTCCTTCACACGCAATGATTGGTTATGGGAACGGTCCGCACTACGTGTAATTGCTCATTAGAGAGGGCTTTGTCTCTCATTATGGCAACATGCAGGAGTGTGGAGATGGCAAGGCTGCTGTGGAAATGTTCCACTTGAGAGGGTTTTCCTGTCGGCCTGCTGCAGGCCAAACACTGAGCACATTTTCTTAGAAGAAACGCCACCTTTTCTTTCTAACGTTGACTTGGCTTCTTAAATACTCACCGATTAAACAAGTGTTAAGCACAAGTGCCTGATTTATATATGAATCAGAGAGGGGACGTGCAAGTGGTGGAATTCAGTCTTTGCAAATAATCATTTGCATTTGTTTGATGACCATTTGGACACGTGGGGCTGTTATCAACAAGCAGTAAAGCGGAAAGGATCATATTAACAGCTAAAATGATTCACTTCATTTTGAAATAAATCATAATAACTAATTTATTATTATTATTATAATTATTGTTATTATTATAATAATAATTATTATAATTATTATTATGACAGTATTAGTACTTTATTTAGTTTTACTGCCGCATGTCTAACACGTTAGACTGCTTAGGCTATAATTGGTTTCTTACACAGTTATTATTTTATCATTATTTCATAATAATATAATTGTAAATATATCATCTAGGCCTATTATTATTGCATTAATTATTTGATAATAATAATAATAATAATAATAATAATAATAATAATAATAATAATAATAATAATAATGGCTAATTTGGTTATGTTTTTACTTCAGTAAGTATTTAGGTAAAGCAGTTGTCTCAAGGGGAGGGAAAATATGTTTTCCATCCGACAGCCGAGTAAGCAGATATAATGGCTACATGGAGAGTGACAGGGCCCCAAAAGAAGACAACTCTATCCAAAGAGGAACGAATAAAACTCCTCACCGATTTCGTCTTTTATCTCTTTCTCATTCTCAGTCGCTGGCTATATGGCTCTAAATCCCGTCTATAGGATTTAGTCTCTCACTTTCTCTTTCAGTTCTAAGCGGTTTCTCAAGAGTGTTTTGATCCGGTCTCAGCAGCTGAAAGGTGCCGCAATTGGTTCGGTATCTCTTTTTTTTGCTGCTTTTCCGCCTCACTGGCTGAGACATCGTGATACTAAAGAATGAGTTTATTTCCCAGCGCTTTTATAAAGAAAACAAATCCCATCCTAGCGTCAGTGGGTCTGGCAGACGGATAATAGCTTCACATTCACTCCTTTTTATGGATTAGCCGGAGTGAAGAAACAAATAGCGTGGATACAAACTATTGGCCTATAGAAGAATACTTTTCTCTAGTTTGCAGCAAGGGAAATAGTCAAGAAACATGTCGCATCAGGTTTCCTCCAGTGAGCCAAGACTTTCACATATAGACGCACTAGATGTGTTTCCAGGCCTTTAGCGGGTCTGTCACTTTCCTCAGCTGCAGAATCACGAGAAAATGCGCAACTTGTTTGAGTTCATGTGGTGGAAACGCTTTTTAAAAAAAAAAAATTCTAACTGACAAATCTTTTACACTAAAAGACAACTTTTGCGCAATCTAAGCTCAGTTTTGGGTTGTTCGTGCAGCCCTGCACCTGCTCCACCTTTGGAACAACAACCTCTTGTCCTGGAGCAAGGCGCCAGCCATGCCAATCAAAACATAAACAAAAAAAAAACTGCACAAACAAAAAGCTGAGACGAGTCCGACCCATGGCGCCAGACAGACATGAGTGAGATATTACATATTACATAAACCACCCTCTATCTCCACGCACCCCCTGCTTAATTTCGCATTAACTTCTCGGTGTGATAATGATGTCCAACAACAAGACAGACATTAGTCGATAAGCCTCGCCCTGCAACTGAAGGGGCCTTTGGGCCCACCGCGGACAAGCAGGAGCAGTGAATAGATTGGCCTTATTTTGGTTGTTCAGGGGGTTACATGCTCTCTCCTCACTCATTTGTTTCCAATTGAAGACAGAAATCCTGACTGGCGTGTAGCTGGCCGGGGGACGTGATTAATGATGGTAGTGGATAAGGGTTAACACACTGGACTCAAAGCTCTGTTGACTGGGATCCTCGTGCGCACAATACCAAAGTACTACAGCCTGTGCGCCTCCAGAGAGAGGGAATCCTTTTGTCATCTCCTCCAATAGCCCCCCCCCCCGCCGCCCCCCACCGTCCTCCACCACCACCACTACTCACACAGACCACCACCCCTCGTACCGACCTGCCTAACCCTCCCATATATTACACCCACCGAGGGCTCACTGCTCGTCCCTGGCTGTGTCCATAGTTTAATGGTTTCCCTTACTCCTGAAGGCATTGTATCATTCTGAAAAGCGTCTTCTCCTATTCAAAAGTTGGTGGTCACCTCAATGGCTATACCAACGCCCATATGGGAACGACCATTGAGGCATTGCTCTGCCCTAAAAAAAAGAGGAGGGGGGGGAGGGGTAGTGAGTTTGGGGTTTTAATACATTTCATAGGCTCTGAAAAGAGGTTCACCACATCTTGTCACATTTCTCTTAACCTTTTGAGAACACACGCCATTGTTGGGACGCGATAAGTACGCAGAGCCTTTTCCCTCGCCAGTCTGTTTTTCTCACAATATTTTATAAACACTTTTCACTGCGAGGCCTTTTTTTTTTTATTGAATATATTGTTCCACTTTTCACAAGGGCAGTCGTCTGGAATCAGGCAACATTAAGAAGAAGTTTCAATAATTCATCTGATTTTGAATGAAATCAACCATGATAGTGGCTTTAATTAATGATGTTGTACCGCGGTCTGTACAATTAGCTGTAGGCTGATACAACACCAGACCCGAGAATTAATTATTCAATTAACTTAATTGAATGCTTATTTCCATTAAATGACTTTTTTTTCTTTTTTCTTTTTTTTTTTTGCAGATGGCTGCCAACAACAGGACGGTGCAGGAGAAAACACAAATTCCATCAGCTCGAACGGCGAGGATTCAGAGGAGACACAGATGCGACTGCAACTCAAGAGGAAACTACAGAGAAACCGCACGTCCTTCACACAGGAGCAAATCGAAGCTCTGGAAAAAGGTGCAACATGCTGTGAATAATTTACACGTGTATTATAGGCCTTCTTCCTCTCAATAAAAATAAACACGTTCCTGACAGTCTTAGGTGAATTGAAACTTAAGAAAAATTCCTTAATGTGTGAGTTGCTACATTTCTAATGGTTTATTTCACGGAACAAATAATAGGTATAATTATTAGGTTGTAAATAAGTAAATAAGTTTTGAATTCTGGGCTTTAGAGATACATTTATGAGCACTGCATGAATTCAGTCAAGCTCCACCTCATTTGTTGCTTATTTACCAACACTTTTGCTGTGCTGCATTTTCTTGCGTTACAGAATTTGAAAGAACTCATTATCCCGATGTTTTCGCGCGAGAGAGACTAGCAGCGAAAATCGACCTGCCCGAAGCAAGAATACAAGTGAGTGAACAACAACTTTTTTTTTTATACCAAATTTATTAATTTTTTTCTGATGGCCGGGGGAGGGGGGGGGGCGCTGGATGCCCGTAAGAGATCTAACAAGAAGACTTTCGTCGCAGGTATGGTTTTCAAATAGGAGAGCAAAGTGGAGGCGAGAGGAGAAGCTGCGGAACCAGCGCCGGCAGGCCAACAACTCCTCCAGTCACATTCCCATCAGCAGCAGCTTCAGCACCAGCGTCTACCAGGCCATCCCGCAGCCCACTACACCGGGTAGGTCCACCACAGCTTACAGGACATCCACACCCATTAAAAACAAAAAAAAAACAAAAAAACATTAGAATCTTAAATAAAATTAAAATAGAATTTGTCGATTGTTGTATTGCACAACCATGCACTTGTTTGTTACACGAGCCTTACACGTTGCAATGTCGCTTTAATAGGCGAAATAACAACACATTTAACCGTTCATGAGTTTCAAGTCGGACGGGATCCATGTGAAATAAAAGTAAATATTATTATACAGCAACCTGCGGAGTCAGAGAAAAGGAGAGAGGAGGCCTCGGTGGCTGTGCGCTCTAGTTCACATGAAGTAACACCGGTGGTTTCCCTTTGATGGATGATTGAGCAAAACTTCTCAGCTGACTATCTGCGTAATTACCAAATCAGGCACGAGGGCACACCGGCAGAAGTGAAGCTCACGCTCACAAGTCAATCACCTGAGAGACACACACACACACAGACACACACACAGACACACACACAGACACACACACACACACACACACACACACACACACGCACACGCACACGCACACAGCTCAGTGTCTGTCCGGGCTTATCTGCCTGTCAAACAAGGCGTCACCTCACGCTCACGCACTACTTAACGCTAATGAGACGGTCTCTCACACACGGAGGACTGTGTGTTTTAACCACATTTTTTTCCATTTTCATTCACAGTGTCTTTCACCTCGGGGTCAATGCTGGGTAGACCTGACTCTGCACTCACAAACACCTACAGTGCGCTGCCCCCCATGCCCAGCTTCACCATGGCAAACAATCTACCTATGCAAGTAAGTAAAAAAAAAAAACCCAACTCATTAGTCAACACATGTTTACAGATGTGTATTTTATGTATTAAGTGATTTAAATTATGTTTCCTGGCCAAACACTTTCCTTAAAATCTTATATTTAAATAAAGAATAGGTTTCTATCAAGAACTAAAATTATGAATAAAATTTAATCTAGACAGATCTGCCTATGAAAAGCTTACAGTGTCACAGACTACTGAGCTGAACTTTATGGTTGGCTAAGCTAATGTAACATTCTCTCCCCATCTATAGCCCAGCCAGACCTCCTCTTATTCCTGCATGCTGCCTACCAGTCCGCCTGTGAACGGGCGGAGCTACGAAACATACACGCCCCCTCATATGCAGGCACATATGAACAGCCAATCAATGACCACTTCTGGTACCACCTCAACAGGTAGGCAGACAATTCATTGTTTACCAACATGCTTGGGAATTAATAAAAAATCAAACAGTGTCACTCTGTGAAATATCTGCCACCTTTCCTGTAATAAGGGGGTACTACATAGCCATCTTTGATTCATGATCCGTCGCGCCAGCTCTCCTCTTCCCTTCTGTCTATTTGAGAAACTTCATGGTTTAAACATCTGCGGGTCAATATCTCTACATTTCATATCATTTTCCCTCCGCAAGCTGCATGAAAGGAGCTCATTTCATCTCCGCTCTATGCCATCATGTCAATCCCACTACTCCAGCCCATAGTTTAGTTCCACCCCATTAGGATGCTGTTACTGAGAGCCATATATACTGGTTATAGTCATGAAGAGTTAATCATGCATAACCACATTTCCTCTGTGCTAAATTGCTAATTAATTTGATTCATTTGCTGTTGTACTCTCTCTGTTTAAATGCCATTGCCAAAGCCTCAATTTATTGAGCTTGCAAGCATTTTACTGAGCAACCGAGTGCAGAGCTTTGTGACTCATTGCTCGTCCACCTATTTGCAAGCTTTTAAACCACACTGCTTTGTGCTATAAGGCTAACTAGCGCTAGCTCTCACACTAACTGTGCATGGTGCATCCACTCATCTAATATAGCATGCTGACCTCTGGGGCTTCATTTATTTTTATTTTTTTTCGAATTCATTTATTCTTTATACTGACGTCTTTCTCTCTCTGTCTCTGCAGGACTCATCTCTCCTGGAGTGTCTGTCCCTGTCCAAGTCCCAGGGAGCGAGCCTGACATGTCTCAGTACTGGTCAAGACTACAGTAGAGAGAAGAGCTACTTCACCCTGTAACCACCCACTCCACCATCGCCCTCCGGCAGTGCTCCTCACACTTACACGGCACAGGAGAGTAGAGAAGGCGAGAGCGGGTTGAGAAGAAGCAAAGGACAAGAGGAGGAGAAGAGAGGAGGAACGAACGAACGAAAGAAAGAAAGAGAGAGACTCTGGGAGAGCCTTGGGACGTCTGGGCTTTGTTTTTCCAGTGGGACTGTGTGCTGTTCTGTAGCTCTAGGCACATTCAAATGAGGACTTGGAAGAGAGAACAACAATGGAAAGACAGAAAAAAATGGACCTCTGTAAAGTGCCCGGTGTTAAATTTTTATGGAACAAAAACTTATCTGTTTTTTTTTTTCTATTTCCAACTTCAGTCATTGTTTCCTTTTTTCTCTGGTGTGTTAGTAAATGGCCATTTGTATGTTAATATGAAAAACCAAGATCAAGTACTGATAGATGGACTGCTAGAAAACCATGTTGGTCTTGCGTTTGTTTGCGAGGAGAACCTGAGAGATTCTGCCATGACTATCTTTTAATCTGCTTATATCGAGACTTTCTACCAGCCTTTGCATGGTCTCTGGACGCTGTTGCATATCATTAAAGACGAAAAGCTGGAGGGAAGACTCTTACTGTGTCAAAAAAAAAAAGAAAAAAAATATTTATTGGTCTTATTTCTTACGAATGGATATTTAGCAGAGGAAACTCAAACTTGATCCATCCACTGAGGCTGTGGTCTTGACTCCTCTGACATGACGTTTGCTGGCTTATTAGGCACGGATCACTATCAACAGCTCAAAGTGCGCAAAGACGGTGCGGCATGCAACACAACTTGGACCTCTTGCTTCGGTGGTTGGATTGACTCTAGATTACCACGAAGAACATTAAATGTGGAAAACAGGTGTAAAAGAAAACCTGTAGTCTGTAAATGGTAGACTGCGTCTTCGATATAATCCAGTTTGTTTATGTCAAAATGTAAAGTACTTGTCTTCCCTAGAAATCTTCCAGAAAGATTTCTCCAATAAAAGTTGATTTCATTTATATCCCCGAGAATATTCTATAAATGTTCCATGCATCATAAAATACATTACTTTAGGGTCAGGTACAATTTGTCTCTTAGGTATAGTTGTATTATAGTGTCCTATGGTCAAAAAAAAAATTGTGCAACTAGAAATATTTAATTCCTATAATTATGATTAAACATTGCTTGACAGAGTTTTAAACTTAAGTGTTTGGCAGTTGTTTACAAGTACATATCAGATTTAATCATTGTTGATTGTAAAACAGACCAAAGCCTTTGTATCTCATCTAGTACACAATGTTTTTTTTAAAGATATTAGTCTTGTGTTGCAAAATTTTGTAAACACGTTCTGTTCGATTACATTGGCTTCGAGTTCGTAAGACTGCAGTCGAACCCCGCAGTCCTTATTTATAATTGAAGACCATGGGAGGGTTTTTCTAGCATCATCTGTCATGCTCTTTTGAGTTTTGCATTTTTATTTCAGTGTGTACGTAGAACATGGACACATACTGGGTTTACGTCTGAGCAATGCTTCTGAGATAAAACGTCTACACGCTGTCTCTTAAATATTTCAATTTAATTTTATTTAAAATGGAGCTTTCTAAATGTATTTTGTGAAAACTATAAAACATTTTGTACAGTAAAATTGTGTCTTAAAGAAAGCCTTTTTGCCTGTTCAATGCTGTGTCTAATACAGTGTCAGTCTTTACTGAGCAAGTAGAGGCACTTCTTAATTTTCATTGCTGCAAATTTTAACTTCTTTTTTTGTAAATCTAATGCTGACAAATGCCAGTAAAAGGGCTTGTAATATACATACAACACTTCCAATTCCCACCGAACAAAGGTGTCCAAAATAACAAACCTCTCTTGATGTATGGGGCTGAACCAAGTCGACACAGACCACACAGCACAACACCACCACACAACGAGAAAGGTCAAGCAATTCACCATCACTGGCTCTTGTTTTAGTAGAGTTACAATGGTATGAAAAAATACAGAACCAATGAGGACGAGGAGGGAGCAGAGAGGAGAAAAAAAAAAGTCATGGAATAAAGCAGCCAGTGCCTAGAGCGAGGCAGAGGAGCGATTGTGTGGCAGAGTGAGTTATTTTGCTTCACTTGCTGCCTCAGCAGGGGGGTTGTGTCTGTGTGTGTGTGTGTGTGTGTGTGTGTGTGTGTGTGTATGGATTTGAAGGAGTGTGTTAGAGAGAGTGAGTGAGAGAGCTATCTAAAAGGAAAGGATGTCCAGGAGAGTGAGGTCAGGTAACATTCACTCAGCATGTAGCAGCACCAAATATCTCGCTAAATTGGTAAATTGAATTTACACGTCTCACTCAATATTTAATAGTCCAATCAGAACTTTGAGGATCTGAGGTTAATCAGATTTTTAAGAGGATTTTTTTTTCTTACTGGGGCTAATGCAATTTCTCTATTCATTTAATCCAGTTTATCACGCAGACGGAGGAATACTGTTCTGCGAGCAGTGGGAGGGGAAGGGAGAACAAGCTAGACAAACGTGCCGAGACCGAGGAAGAACATTAATAATTACGGAGAGAAAATGAAAAAGAAATTCAAAATGCAAGAAAGACTGCAATTAGTGGAAGTCTAAATAATACACAGCTTTGGGATAAAAAGCTTTAGAATATAATTCTGGCTTGGAACAAAGTTAGGCAATATATAAGTTTCTGTAAAAGTTCCTCAGAACTTTGTACACTTTGATCAGTCGTTTAATAGGAAACTAATTCTGACCTGGAAATCTAGAGCAGCAGCAAACAGAAGCTGATACTCTCCTCTTTAGTGTCAACAGTCAAGTGTGTACTTTGTGTGCGTGCTTCAACACAAAGTAACGTTTCCCTCATCATTGTAAATATAATAAATAATAGTGTGTATTTTGTAAAGTGCATTTGACAGATACGGTCACCTAATTATGTAATCTGTAACACAACATGTCTGAAGATAGGTCTGCTTTATTAAACCAAATTTGGCAGAGAGAGATATTCAGTGTGGGCAAAAAATATTGGCTTACATTGTGTTACATGAATAACAGCATGAATGAGATGCGAGAGTCATTTAATAATAGAACCCGTAAGACCTCGGCTAAAGCAACTGTAGGAGAACAACTACGGCTTTGGTAAGGAGTCAATAGGACATAAGCAGCAACTGCCAAAAACACGGTTATAAAATCATATTTTCACTGCTCCAAGCCAAGTCAGACTTTCAAGAAGTAGGTCCTGTAAAATGTGCCAACAGCACTGGATGTTCATCTTATGTGTTACTTTCACAGATTTCAAGTTATTTAACAAAAAGAACTGTATGTAATACTGACATATTCTTCCACCTGATTTAAATATGTTATGATTATAAAACTCAAAACTTATTAACATAAACAATTATTGAGCTTTGGGCAATGCAAAAGAAATATTGGGTGAGGCGAGGCGAATAAGGAGCATCCGAAGAGCCACATATAATCATTTATTTAGAAAAAAATCCTACTAGGAGAGAAAACCACTTTCTCTAATAGTGTTATTGTGTTCAGAGGATTAACTTTATAGAGATTTCCTGGTGCCCTGAATTACTTATTCATACTTACTACAGAAGCATGTGTGGCTAATCATAACTCACAGCATTGTCAAACCACGTATAACCAACTTTATCTAAAGGAAGGACACAGTCGATCAGGCATAAGAAGTCCTATTTTAAATGCTGTTGTTATTTTCATATTAAAAAACCTGCGCAGCCACGTTTAACATAATACCTTTGGTTACATGTAAGTAAAGACACTGACATCAATTCACTAAGTTCTAAATGTACTTGAAAACATGACAATATGTGGCATATGGGAAACTGACATTATAAAACTTAAAAAAGAATTCACGCTCTGAACTGACTGAACAAAAAGTGAATCCGCACCATGTGACACAGAGACATGGGAAGTGTAAGAGACATACAAGTCGTACGGCAACATAAACAAACGCCAAAATGAATGTATTCTATTTTAATCTACCTTAGAACTGTACCCTAAATATGTCAACTCTTCGACAACAAGAACTTGGAGAACAGTTTTTATCTTGACAACACAAGCTTTCGTTCACCTGTGTAAGTGACCTGTGTACGTCATCTCTCTTTCTCATACACCCGATATAAGATCACTCCATTCATGCATGAAACTGTCAGATAACACCACCCTCTCCCAACACGTGTTGCAGATGCTTACCAATACTGCCAGTTTTTACAGTCAAAAATATTCAAACTGGCATCAGCAGCAGACTGAGGAAAACAAAAAATGAAACATTTAATTTTTCATGTTTTTTTTTTTTCTCTGTTTCTCCATGTCACCGTTTGACCTAATTTGTTCTTTTGGGCTTGTCATGGCAAAGCAGCTCATCCAGCAAACATGCCTGATGAGGTGTGAAGCCTGCGCCCAAATCCAGCTCTCCTACCCTCTGCCCACATTCCAGCTTACTGGAGGTAGACGTCATTCACCGGCACAGTCTCAGGGTCAGATGGAGGCATCCCTATTCGAACCTGAAACCAGTGAGGCAGACCAGAGATCAGTCATTCATAACACGCGTACACAGTCTCACAGGTAGTCAACTTTCCCTTCAGAGCAGGTGTTGAGTCGCAGTCAAGCAAAATTTGAGTAAAGCATATGTTGTGCACCGAGTATTTATTTTCTTTTATTTAACTCAACAAAAGCACACTTCATTGCATTATACTAGAAAAAAACTTGTACTTTCAGACTATTGTACATGGTGGAGCTAAGCAGGAGAAGCCACTTGTTTCATAAAGTAAGTGCTGAGCTTGGGAGAATGCATGTAAATTATTTAATGTCTGCCAAGACTGAGAGTCTGTAATGACTAAAAAATATTTCATGATTACACTTTACATGTAACCAAACCCCCCAGAGGCAGAGAAAAACAAAAACAACAATGTACCAAATCTTAAACAAACCCTCCATCTTGGATTTTAATTGGGTTACGTTCAAGTCACAAAGCCAATCATATACCTTCATGTAACATTTTGAAATACCACAGGGCTCACTTTTTTCTGCAACTTTTTTTTTAACTCCTAAGTTAAAATGAAATTCTCATGACAGTTTGACATGTGCAAATCTCCGCTGTCAGAGTAAACAGAAACTGTAGAGTGTACTGTAGGTTTATACAAAAAAAAAAGGACTTGAAATGTAGGATGAAATGTGTCCGTTATGAGGTGAGGTACTGTGGATGTTTAGATCTTCACCCCTGGCTGGGACAGTTGGCAGGTGGTAATGGCTGGCAGGGTTATCGCGGTTGACATTATGTGGGTGAGGGAACAACCTGGTCACAGTGGTAAAGAGGACAACGCTGCAGTGTTCCAGGTGTGGGTTGCCCGTGGCGACTGTGTGGGAGCTCTAGAAGTCCAGGTGTTTGTTGCCGGAAGTGCCAGAGCCACAGGCTGAAGCCACTGTGGCCCCTCCTGCCAGCTCCCCCCTGCTCACACGACTCACCGTCTCAGATAAGTCTGGGGGCAAATGTAGTCTCTACAGAAAGGGGGAGAGAGAGAGAGAGAGAGAGAGAGAGAGAGAGAGAGACAGAGAGAGAGAGAGGGGAGGGGGGGGGGCACAGTATTAGATCAGCCTGTATGGAGAAAAAAGAAAGCACTACAGTGGATCAACATACAGTAGATGGTACACTCCAGTGATGTTTATTCACAGAGAGCCATGTTGGGCTGAAATTGCATTAGTTGCTTCACCACTCCCCTCAGCACTGGCAGCGTGGAGTAAACCTGCTAGCGTGCTGCTAAATGCTTCAGAGAGCTTTAGGTCTGTTACAGCTCACAGGGAATATGTGTGTGTGTGTGTGTGTGTGTGTGTGTGTGTGTGTGTGTGTGTGTGTGAGAGAGAGAGAGAGGTAGGGGTGCTTTGAGCAGTTGTGTATGGGACACTACAGCATGCATTTATGAAGTGAGGTAAGAGAAAGTTTGTGTTCAGACACAAATGTGCATGCAGGATCTGGGTGTGTTTTCACTTGTGTTGATT